AGACCTAAAAGTAACTCAAACAATCAATGSATCTTTAATTTGAAATGCTTAATGACTAATCTCTTGTTTTCTTTAATTAATGATCTACTGTTAATCATTATGAATGGTAAATTGTCTATTTCAGCATCAGTAGGAAGCRTTCCTATGGGAAAATATTCCCCTATAGCTTTAATTTAAATATGCRTTTTCACATTGCACTTACCATATCCTCACCTTTATGATGTCGCATGATTACAGGTCCATTAACTAATCACATTTGACAACTTGTTTATTGAGGGGAGCAACTATTTTACATCTCTTGCCTGGGAAAGAAAACACTCTTAACAAACAATTATTCAGCAGCTGCAATCATGGAGCACTGAATGAATTGCTTTGAAGATCTCAGTCAAGAAGATCTTGATAAAAAAATCAAAGAAAATGTTGTTTGACAGAATGCATGAATGGGAATGCCAGAAGGACGCCAGGTTAGGTAAGCTAGGTAAGCTGCAGCCCTGCTCCAGGGAGCACTCCATGAGGACCTTGAAATACCACACTTAGCAGAGGAGGAGGCCAAGGAAAAGCACATTTGCTTTTTTTTTTTTTTTCTTTGTTCTTTTAAATTTAGTTTTTTTTTTTTTTTTTTTTTGCTTTGTTCTTTTAAATTTAGTTTATTGAAACCAGAATTTACACGTATGATTTGTTTATATGAACAGGATGCTGTTTAAAAAGGGCCAAAAAACCTGAGCACAATCAGGTCTATGAAAGCTGACACATGGATATTTTATATGTGTAAGCTCCGTGGATGACTTCCTCTGCCATATCAATAACTAACCCAAAGAGTACATTGAAGCTTAATGATTATAAAGCACYTTAGAATGTTCTTCCAATAGGAGCTGTGGTTGCATTGAAGTGGGAAAAAAAAGCAGAACAAGGCATGTTGGAATCTCAGCTCTGGACTTAGCTGCACAAGTGTCTCAGTGCACCTTGGTGCTGGGGAAAAGCAGCAGTTCCAGTGTCATTCACTCCCTGACACRTCCTGGGGGCATCAGGAGAGTTTGTATCTTGAGTGTGCAAACTGGTGCTTTGTTGGGACTTYGTTGCAGAAARTAGTGGRATCACTGCAAAGCTTGATGCAGGCRCTGAAGACAGGCTGGAAAGRGGTTTCTGATGTCCCCAGCTCCTTTGCCTGTGCCTAYTGCTCCTTCAACTGCATGAGGAGGATCAGAGTGTCTCACATGAGACATTYCCAACTCTGCTCCATGGACAAGTCACAGCCTGCAACATGCTAGCCAAACCCAAGCCATGCTTCCTTCTTTCGTCTGCTGTAACTCTGTGTGCTTTGTAAGTCAGCTGAGATGAAATATGTTTCTGCCAGATAAGACTAATTCCTACAGTGGCACTGGAAAGAGAAGGAGAGCTTAAAGGTTCAAAACTCTCTGTAGTAAAGGACTTCAAATGTGAAGTACAAGGACTAAACAATATCTTCTCTGAATATTATGTCACTATAAAAGGCTGAAAAAGTTGCCYAGTAAGGTGAAGGGCAGTAATAATGTCAGGTTGCATCTCAGCAAACATCCTGATTAGGCTTTTTGGCCACATCACATTAGTAACACAGCTTTTSAAAATTGCCCTGTTCTTACATTAAACATTGCTAACAGTTTGCTAGCATCAGCTCTCTAGAAATGGGGAGAAATGCAATTCTTTTCCCTTTCTTGCATGCCCCAAGTTCAGAAAGCCTGTGACGATGGCGATACTGAAGTCAGTCATGAACATKGCACTGTTTTGCCAAATCCAGCACCCCTAAGGACTAATGTCTCAAACAGGGTGATGGGAACTTCTGTCACAATGGTACATATTTAAAARTGAGGAACAGAGAAGCTGTGGCCCCTCCCTTGACTCTTGCTTAATATCAGAGAGCCCAAACTGAATTTACACACTTGTATGTACCCTGATTCAAATAATTTTCTGCAGTAAGCCCTCGGCTCTCTTTAATGCTTCAACATGAGACAGATGGAGCTTAACTAAATAATTGGCTCTATCTTTTCCTTTTCCTGTTGTTTTTTTGTTGTTGTTTTTGTGGGGTTTCTGTGGTTTTGTTTTTTTTTTTAGGTATGGTTGACAGATTTTGCCCTGCCAAAGAAAAGGTAGGAAAAGSAAGTAAACAAATTGTTGCTGAAGATTGTGTTAATCACTCGAGTAAGCTGTAGAGTAGCTGAAGACTGATATCTTCTGGTTTATCCTTATGAAAAATGTAAATAGCAGGTTATGCATTAGTGCTTGGAAATCACTAAGTTTACTTGCCAAGGAATTATACAATTATTTTAAATGAATGAATGGAAAAGTGTTCATCAGGCTGTAGGCTCAAGTGGCTATTGCACGGCAGGGTTAAACCTGAGGTGTTCCCWAGACAGCAGACCTTTATCCTTCTTTAGGATAATGATCAAGCAAATATTTAAGAAACTTTCTAATGAGGTCATGAGTACAATGTAATGTATTATTAGACATACAAATGAACTCTCATTAAAATAATAGAAAAATCCTGACATATTAAAGGCATGCTATAATAAATCCAATTTGACCTGGAGCCATATGTGGAATACCATTATTAGGATTGTCCTTAATAAAAGGCTTTCCATGCAGTTAATAAAATTTGAGACACGGGTAATTTTAAGCAGTTTCTTCCATACTTGAAGAGCTGATCTGCCCCACATCAGGTGGCCCATGCTGTGTGACAAAGTTACAGTGATGAGAAAAGCATTCTCATCCTCTACATCCAGTCACTAGGTCTGGATGCAGAAGAAAGAATGGCCAAGTTGCCACAGGCCCTCGATTTTCCTACAAGCCAAATACACAGGCAAAGAATCTGTCAGCTTGGTGCTTTGGCAACTGACACTCCAGCTGATCCATCCGTATCATGGAAAGGTCAGTTAAATCGSTCTCAGTTTATTTCAAAAGCTCTCGACCCTCGCAAACAGACATGAGGGACTAAAGAGTAATGACCACTCAAAATCAAAGGAAGTAAGGCAGCTGCTGTGGTCTGAAAAAACAAATGCTGTGAGGACAAAGCAGCTCGCTCATGCCAGCCACTCAGTTATAACAATTTTTCCTACTGTTGAGAAATTTGTAAGTGAGATGTTAAACTCACCATAACTGCACTAAGATCTTCTGTTTCCTAAGTTACATCTTTATTTAAGCACACACGATTCTGGCCACAGAGTGATGGAAACATTTTTGTTTGGTTTCTGCTAATGTAGAAAGAGCAGCTAAAACAGAGGCAATATTAATGAACATATTCTGTTCTTGTAAATCAAGAGTTCCCCTGAGCRAGCAGTGTGCATTCAGCTCTGGGCACCCAGCTCGAGAGAGATATCGTCAAAATACATGTGGGATTTTGAAACAGACACTAATTAGAAAACGGAAAATATAATCCAAACAAAGATGGAAAAGACTGGGACCATTTTCCTTTAGGGTGAAAAAACTTAATCAAAGATATTTGTATTTTGGAACCACTTTTATAGTCAGCAGCAAAAAAAAAGGAACATGATGAACACTTGCTGACCCTTCTTAGCAAAAGAAAATATACAAATTTTAAAGCTTGGAAGAAAAAAACTCTTGTGGCAATATCATCACTCTATAAGTGCTACAAGACAACAGTGATCCTAAAATTTGAGCAAACTAAAGAACACAATTTTTTACTTTTAACTGCCACTCTGAATTCATGTCCAGACAGAGACATAAAGTGAAACTTGGACAGACCAAAAGCCTTCCCACATTTGCACATAAAAAAACCCTGTAATTACTAAGGGCTGGGAAGAGGCTGGGTATGAAAAASTTCCTTCTGCAAGTGTTCCTGTATCACCACCTGAAACTGGACAAGAGCTGAAAACATGCTTCAGGTGAAACAATGTATGTTACAAATAATATCCTTTTGCAACTATTTTGCAAGAAGTTTACAGAAATGTGAAGAAACACCTTAACAGAATAAAAGACAYTTCAGTAGTTATTATAATTTTTCTCCCTTTGGGAAGGGACATGAAAAAACATTTAGAAAGCTATCTTGAAATCAAAATCTTGAAAGATAGTTCTTTCCTCATAAAAAGCAATTTATTTTGATGTCTCACAAAGTGGGTTTTTTGTGAGTATATAGTACATATATGGAACAATTACAGTTTAACCATTTGCTAATGGTTATAGGAAGAGATCATCATATCCTACATTCCCATGATCCTTTAAAGTGAACTGTGGCAGCTTTAGCTGCAGCAGCACGATTTTCATTAAATCCCTCAGCTGCACTCACTTGCCTTGCAATTGTCAGCCCCSCTTTGTTTTTTTCATGGACTCTTAYTCCAAAATTAAAATGTCTAGCAATTCCCTTTGCATTTATTACAATAATTTCATAACTGGGCCAAAAGAACACTTTACTTGAGCAGTTCAGCTTCAAATTAGCAATGCTACATCAAGCTCTAGCTGCTGAGGCAGATAGGAGTGCCCCTTCACCACAAGACTGCCTGTGAAAGGAAAAACAATTAATGGATGGATTAATTAATTAATGTCAGTGTCTCATTTATGAAGCCAGCTTACAAAGCAGAGAGCATGATGTAAATCTGCTTCATGGCATRTTTTCCTTCAAGACTGTGAGAGAAGTAAGATAGCACCTAAAACACGATGTTTTGTTTTGGCATGTTTGTGGAAAAAAGGTGCGTCTCAGATAACATTTCTAATTTTACCTACACAGGGTGGGGTCTGTTGGATTCACTGGATGSCAGATAGCATTGATTTAACATTGATTGAAATCCAGTTAAATGGCTTTTCCTCCCTTTCTCCARGTCAGAAAACTGAGGCCCATACAGTTGCTGTTGTCATACCAGCCTACCGGGATACATTCATGGCAGGCCCAGGGGAAAAGTAGCTACTCCTGAATTCTGATTTTACAGCAGCTATCACCCATGGTTTAAACACTGGAGTRAAGCTTAATGTAGTTCCAAACTGAAGAAAATCACACCGAAAACCTTTTATTCTAGAAACAGTTTTAATTTCACTTGCATATTTTAACAGAAATACAATATGCTAGCAGCAAAAAATATTTCAGTTCTAACATTTCACAACACATTAGTGTCCAAATCTCTCTTTTTCTATTAAGGCAATCTGTATTAATTACAAAACAACTCTGAATACTATCACAGTATTTCCAAATACATACAAGCCACCATCAAACAACTATTTGTATTATTACCATGGGAAAAAAAAAATCACAATACTAGTAAAAATGTAAACATTTGAAGGTAATGCTTGTAAAACCACAGAAGGTACCATCTACCATTCCAAGACCAAGTAACGGGCTGAAGACATTAGGTAAATATAAAAAGTTTATAAATTAAGTCTTTGTTCAGTCAATATTTCAAAAGTTGYTCATGTTCTGTAAAATTTATATTCAAGTTTGGAGCAGCAATTGCTTTCAAGGTGTACTTCTTAAAAGAAGAGTTCAGGCTGACTTCTGTCTCTGCCCCACTTTGAGACAGCATCCAATTCCTTATTTCTGGTTTTAGGCAGCATTAATTCACCCAAGCATAGAATAAGYGGTTACAGTTTTCAGAGCAGGCCTGACATGTTCTTCAGAAAAGTCCCTAATCCTGTGTGTAATTCAGCAGGTGCCACCAACATCCTCCCTGTGCTACACTGGATCATTTCAGCCATTCATTCTGGGAGCGCTGTGTTTCCATGGACTTCCCAGCCRGACAGTAGCATTCCAACTTTCCTACACAAATGTGACCACAGGGGAATGGGACACAAGGCTGGGAAAAGCCACATGCCTTCAGCTGTCCTCTGAGCCCCATCTCAGTAGGAGGCTGCCTAATGACTTTTGGGTTTTGATCAGTGATATTTTGAGTCATGCAGTTAAAGCATCCTCATGATAGAATACAATCACTAAGATGGTGAAACATTACATTTTCTTCTACAGCTTGGGAGCAGCAGTTCTTTGAGGGGCACTGACTATTGGATAGCCAAGCTCAGCRTTTCCTGATAGCCTGCAGATATTATTGGTTAAACCAACCTGCTTAACAGAAGATGCAAAGGCAATAATGGCAATACGGAAGGGGGAAAAATAAAGAAAGACTAGGTAACAAGMAATATTAAAATCTGAAGTCAACTCTTGCATTATAAATAGGGATTGTATAGTTCTAAAGCAATGAGCAGAGTAATTAATGGCCTTGTTTTAGTGGYGGTCACGGCATTATCATGCACTGGCCTACATGAGTCTAATTTAAGGATAGATAAAAAATATCAATCAACAGAGCTTCATGGAGAACAGGTCTTGAACAACAGGTTGCATTTTACTCTTTGAGATACTAAGCTCAGCTTGCAARGCCACAAAAGCCTGCRTCACCTTCTGAAAACCAGAKGAACATGTAAYTTTCTTTAAAATATCATAATAATTKCAATTTTATTATTATGAATTCAGCAAGAAATACAGCTGTTTTTCATCTTATTCAATGTTTTAAATGTTCTGGGATAAAGGGACAGAAACTCAATGGCCCATCTGTTTGCTTTTCCCTACCCCCACCCATGTCACTGATGTCATAAAAACTTATCACCTCTCTCTAAAAACCTTGCCTTGCATTCAATTTTAAAAATCAATGATCTGGAATAAACTGTAAAAATCACTTGCAATAAATTTGCAAAGGACACGCAGACTGCTGGAGTAGTAAAGAATGAGGACAGGTCACTTACACAGAGCAATCTGGATCACTTCATGAGCAGTATTTTAATGCTGGTAAAGTACAATGTATATTTCCAAGAAAATATGAGGTAGGAAAATAAGAGTATGATGTACCGCATTCCCGAGAAAGACTCTGAAGAGAACTTGGGCCATAAAAGTCAGCATCCAAGGCTTCCACAAAAAAAAAGGAWAATGCAATTTTTGAGGAAGAAGGAGAGAGAGGGAGATATTCATCACAGTAAGAGGATCATGTTATGGCTCTATACAGTCCTGATGGATCACTATTGACATGTGACATCTAATTCAGATGTCACCCTTACAAGTATTTCTATACATGAGAAAYACAGAGAAGAACGTGAAGATTAATTAGTCTTGGATAACATTCACTGCCATAGGAAAGTTAAGGAATTCAGTACGCCTCATCAGAGAAAAGGTTAAAAGGGACATAATCATGATTTATACCACACACAAGCAATTAGAAAAGCTGATACTACAGAGATCAATATAAGCAATCAAATGCATAAAAAGACCAAAATAACTTARGGTGGAGCTAGAAATGCAAATAGAAAATCAAGTGAAAATGTACCTGGGGTAATTAAGTATTGCAACAGGAGGTATGAGTGAATTCTCATCATTTGAAGACTTCAAATTAATATTAAATGCCTTGCTAAAATATGTATATTCAATTCAAAACAAAGMCACTGAATTTAATAGAGAAACTGCTCATTGAAATTCAATGGCCTGTTGAATTTAAAAATAAATCCTCATTATGGTGCCTTCTTGCCTTATATATTTATGAGATTTATTTTTAAATATAACCRCTAAATGAAAGGGGGTTACCAAGAAAAAGGTTTTTTTTTCTTTCCGAGCACAGCAATGTTTAAGACTAAATTTTAAAGCTAAATAAGCTGCAGCTGCATTTTGGAAATTATGCTTTCTTTCTCTCCCGTTTATTTTTCCCATTTCTTGTTCAGAGTTGTACAGTCCACTTAGTCAACTGTCTGATTTACATAATCATGTAGTTATTCTTCAGTTTTTCTGTTCCTATTTATAAACCATTCACAAACCATCCACTTAAGTAACAGCATGATTTATTGTAAGAATGATTATGGTTGTTTCAGAGGGAAAATGGAATGTGATTAAATGAAGAATGAACGAGGACATTCTAGAACAAAGGGCTCTAATCCTGCAAAAGGATTTGTAAATGAAACCTGCCTCTCAACCCCATCCCAAATAGCCAATGAACTGCTGARGGAATTCAGCAGATACCTTTACAGCTGTGCAGCCAAGAGCTTAGCTGAAGACTAAAAATTAGAYAAAATAAACCAACCAACCAACCATGCCCACAGTATCTTCTGAAGAAATGGGAAAGCTCTCAGAGCCATCAACACTTCRGAAAAAAAATACTAAATAATGAACTGTATGTCTACAGTTGCTGATACGACCTTCTCAACACAGGTCTGAGCACCAAGGCTCTAGAGGGAGAACTACAAGCAGACCTTTGCCCTTGGAAAAGTTCCAGCATCTGAGATAAATGCATCAACCAAGGAMAAGGTTGGGTATTTTAGTTGTTCATTCAGGAGAATGCAGCTTTTCCTTATGCAAGAGATGTTTTGCAGGTGCTACAGAAATCTTTACAACCCATGCTTCTTACAGAACTGGTGAACTGTCTGATGGAAGAGTATCAAATTCAGTATCTTCACCTGAAGCGCTATTGCAGAAAGAAGAAGTGAAAAAACCCTGCTTGTTTACCAGTWACACTGCCTGTTTACAAACCAGCTCCCAACCAGGAACAGCTGAGAGGCTCCACAAAGGAAGAGCTTGGGCTACAGAGCCACGTTTGTCAGGAAAAACAACCCTAAGATGAGCACATGCTCATGCCCAGCACTGCTTTTAAACCCTCAGCCCAAAATAAGCAGCAGTGATGGATCATATCCTTGCTCAAAGACAGATAACCCTGGCCCATTCTGACAGCACATGAACCAGCAGGAACTTGGGAAATCCCACACTAAATTGATAGAACTGCTTCAGAAATTCACACCAAGTTACAGAGCCCTTCAGAACAGCACAAAAGCTTTTCATACTCGATTACCATATAAGCACTGTTTCCTAAACAGTGAGGGAGAGAGAGGGATATTTTARGTGAAGCCAAGCATGGATCCCAAGAAAATCAGCTTTGCAAGATCTGTGCTGAATATGTGTGAATTCCCACTTAAGTAGGCTGAGAAACTGTGGATGGTCTAAGCTGAGGGACTGGTAGAAGGCACTGGTAACACCCCTGCTGTGAGGACAACYGAGGTTACCCTGAATACTGTGGGTTTTTCAAGAGGAAAGTACTGAACTATTGTTTTCAGAAATAGCACCGTTACTCCAGACATAGAACTCCCCCTATTCTAGTGCAATTATTTAGATGTGATCACTAATGAGTACAGTGAGACTGCAGCAGTAATGCCCTGTCTAACAGGAAACACTTGAGCTATATGCTAAAATCTATTTTTAATGGAGAGTATTAGGGGAAGGCTGAGAAACTTTCAATTCCAAGGACTCCTCTAAGCTAAATACRATGCCTATGAATGCAACCAGGACCTGGGGTCAAGAATTTCTGTAATGCCCTTCTGTCTAGGGGTTGGTACTGGTTTGGTTTCAGACTTGGTCTTGTTCACCAGAGAAACGGGATTCCCTGGACCACATTTTTTACAGGGACCAATTTTGCGAGGAGCAGCAATGGGGGTTTGCAGCTGCTGCATTTTCGTAGCTAACAGTGACTCAGAGGAAGATCTACTGGCAGATGTGTGGTCAGGCTTCCCCCAGTTTTCCTTGCCCTGTTGCTCTGTGTTCACCTGTGTTTTTGCACTGTATGGTGATTTATCAGAGGGTGGAGGGGGAGCTCTTCTTTTCTTTCCTCTGCTGTCATTAGGACTTGTAGTATTTCCTTTTGGGTCCAGATGTGTGCTTTTCTGAACAGTCATCTCATGGGATCCATCGAAGAGTGAAGCCCATAGAGAGGATGCAGACTCTTTTCGCTGGCCAAGAAGGAACTCACCATCACTCTCTTCAATTTTTCTTTGTATGATATCAGCTAAGCCTTCATGTTTCACTGGAGAATCAATGCCTGTAATTTTAAGGGACAGCAATTAACCCAGAGTAAAACGCTACCAGTGATTTTATTTCTACCTATTTCATTATTACTGCTCAGAATACAAAATTGTATCAACTATGTCTCACCAAATCTGAACTACTAAGCAYTAATGGATGAAATGGAAAAGATTACATTTGCTATCCAAGAGAGAACTGAGGTGACAGGAGGGAACTGTATATGTGACAGCTGGCTTTGAGGCAGCAGAGTAGGTACTGGTATTTCTTTCCAAGTAAAAGAAAAAATAATGCACTACTGGGAAACCTGTATGTATTAGATATTAAACACGTTTTGTTGTATAGTGCTTTGAAAATTTCATTTCACACGAGGCTCATGAATGTCTATGACTAAATATTCTTGTGCTGCCAGCCTGTAGAAAATAGGACATCTTTACATATATCATTTTTCTCTATGTGCTTTAAGACTGCCTTGCTCCATTTCTTATTCTTCTTATTGAGTTTTCCATGTATACTGCAGTAGTACCAGGCTCAAACAGCAGCAGTATCTGATTTTCAAYAGAATCACAGAACTGTTTAGGTTGGAAAAGACCTTTAAAGATCATCRAGTCCAACTGTTAACCCAGCACTGCCAAGTCCACCTCTAACCYGATGTCACTAAGCACATCTATATGTTTTAAATACACCCAGAGTGATGCCCCTGCCACTTCCCCKGGGAGCCTGTGTCAATCTTTCTGTGAAAAWTTTTTTCYTAATATCTGATCTAAACCTTCCCTGGGGCAACTTGAYGTCATTTCTGCTTGTCCTATCACTTGTYACTTGAGGATAGGGACTGACCCCTGCTAGCTATGATCTCTTTTCAGGTAGCTGTAGTGAGCCATAAGGTTGCCCCAAGTTTCCTCTTGTCCAGGCTAAACACCCCCAGCTCCGTCAGTCACTCCTCATTGSRCTTGTGCTCCAGAGCCTTTCCCAGCTCCACTGCCTCTCCCTGGACAGGCTTCAGCCCCTCAGTGCTCAATGTCTTTCTGTAGTGAAGGGTCCCAAACTGAACACAGGATTTGAGGTGTCTCACCAGTACAGAGTAGTACACATTCTATAAGCAAACAGGAAAAAAAGAGGTGCATTAAGAATGAAACAGAATTTGTGTTGTGGTCCCCAATGATAWACTTGTGTGTCAGTGGAATTATGCTACCGTGTTACCTTTGTGAAACTTCTGTGTGGTTCATTTACTGCATTTCAGCTCTGCATTCATAACTTAGATAAGACTCGACTGTTCAGTGCTCGGATGCACAGTAACTCAATGACCCACATGGCATTTTGAGCATCATCACAGCTCCATCCCAAGCAGCAAGCAGTCAGGCATTTAGAGTTGTACAGTGTTTCTCAGTCAATACTGCAGTGGATCCAGTAAAAAAAAAGTGACCTACTTTTTCTAGTCTGTAAATATTATTTCTGTAACAAAACTATTAAAAAAATCCTGCTGCATACCATTTTTCTCTGCAAAAATACAAGTCCCAGATACATTCTYGCTAGACTTTCCAAGCATGTTTTACAACATCATTACCAATGAACAAACAGTTAGGTAAGTTATGCTAGATAAGCCTTCAAATAGCTTTAAGAACACAGATTAATTTCATGCAAGTGGTTTGCAGGCTGGACTACTTTATCTTTAATTTCTTGAGCTTTATACTACTCTTACTGTATTTATTCCCAGTGACAACTTTTTTGAGTGTGTTTAGGGCAGATTGCAGATTTTTTAGCTCAAGGTATAAAAATGTATTCATTATTTGGGCTATTRCAAATTCAGATTTAATATCAACTCCTTGGTATGCAATTATGTAGCTCTTTCATTGTCTGAATTGTCCTTGAAAAACTCAGTGTTTCCACACCAACACCAGAAGCCATCTGAATTCAGACAATGTTGTTTCTGTTACTCTGCAACTTGAAAAGGCAAATCCCACTTACTCATATCATGGTAGACGGAGGTCGCTTCCTTTGTCAAGAACAAAGGTGGTTTCCGTGGTGACATAATCTCAATTTTCATAAGTTCCTCACAACAATGTTTCCACTGGCCTGACAGAGAAAAGAGAACAATGACTGGAACTTAAACACTTCAGCCTTGAAAAAAAAATGGAAGTTATTAGGTTGTGTTAGGAAACTATCTCCAAAGCAATGCTAAACAGTGAGCATTTACTTTTGTTTAGCAGAAATGCTCAGGATGCATTTGTAATTTCACCTCTGAATTCATTCTCTTAGCACAAAGGTCTCAAGATACTACCTGTAATTTAAGCATTCCAGCATTACTGTTATACTGTGATGGGTACGGATCATAATTTGCCTTCAAATCCCCAGAGTATAAAGCCAAGGGGGAAAAGAAACAAACCCTAGAAAAAAAATTAAGGTTTGGCAAGCTTCATGAAGTTATCAGGGACAACCTCCAATATCCTGCAAGCTGGATGTTATACAGCTAAGTTACAATGCTATGGCAAAGGAACATTCTGTTTTTAATAGAGGATAACTTGCCTTTTATCCCTTAGCAGACAAGGAAACCTCTTTTTCTATTAATAGATTTTGACCTTAAGGAAAACAAGACACAGTAAAATTACTTTGTTCATACCAATCATTCCAAGTTTTCTGAGCACATTAATTTTAAGAGAATTTTAGAACCAGGGAAGAAAAAAGGCATTTAAATGCCAAGTGACCCATTTTTTTCTGAATCTAAGGAAAATGTCTCAAAAAAATCCGTGGGTAGTATTCTATCTATAATGAATAAGAAGTAGCTCTTTTACCCCACTCTACAGATAATTTAAAGAGGATGCCCTAGTTTTTTGCTTGGTGTGTTTCTTTAATTGATAGTGCCTTTTCTCATTGTAAATCAGAGCTACAAATGACTGGAAATACAACTACGATACCGAGACTCCACAGCCTCAATTCAATTATTTTATTGGTGTTGTCTCTGACTAAAGACTGATATTTCATTAATTGACCTGGTTCTGTTTTCTGACCTGATAAAAATACCTATCAGGAAACAATTCTACCTTGTCAAAGGCAGCATAAATCTGACAGTCTCTACCCTCAGYAAACCTGTGAGTCAAACAGGAAGCAGAGGAAAAAGACACAGGCAAATTAATCTATGTAGTTTTTATAGTAAGTATTTGGTGATAAACAAGCAACACAATATACTACTTGAACTACATTTTGCACCAATAAATGAGTTCCCYCTGCCATGTAAGATCAGTGTTGTTCCAGAGGTTTTGCAAAGGATCAGGGTAACATTTTATCACCTGTACAGGGGCTGAGGTACAGCTTTTACCAGATCCAGGTAAGCAGCATGTATTTGCCTAACTGGATGTGTGGCTGGGTGAGCTATTCCCGTGTTACAAAGGCTACAAAAACCTTTGAATTGCCAACAGAATCAAGCAATCCTGGTCATAGCAAATTGCAATTTACTTATTCCATAATAGTGCTGAGCAAGGAAACCCCACGTTTATTTGTGACTACTYGCAAGAGGTGGCTGAATCCACATCCTAGCCAAGGCCACACATGATTCCAGCATCCTCACCACTTGTCACTAAGGCTCTCATCCTARGGTTTCCCACTTTGAGGAGCTCACCAAACCAACGCGCCCCTGATAGAATGCCCAGGCAGAGGTGGACTCTTCCTGCTACAGTGGGAAGGAGGAAGGGACRRTGAGAATTTAGCAGTCTTTAAAAAYATTATCTAGARCACTGCTAAGAGAACAARTTTTTTTGAGATTGATGRACATATTCTGCCTCTGGTTTCCTGCRAAAATACAGACTGAACAYATGGACTTYAGTTTAGTCAAATATTTGCCTTYCAACGGCTTAGACCACCACCCAATATTATCCCAGAGAACATTTTTCTTTTCGTCGTTGCAAACAAAGGCTTATGAGGCAATTCCAATTCAAATTGCTCAAAGATCCCTTTGATGTTACATAACGCCCCACTCGGAGGGCACGCTGCCAGCGCTGCCTGCTTACTTACTCAGATCATAAAAGTGCTGCCAGAAAGCCTCCATCSACTTGTGAAGTTCATCCCGACTGTCAGTAGCAAAATGTTGCGTCACAGCCTCTCCAGACATGGGGTTGATAACAGAGAACTTATTAGTTCTWCCCTTGGAGTCCTTATCCACAGCTCGAATCCTGGTTTCCTAGGAACAACAAACTGTGATAATGAGCTACTGCTTCAGCTCCACACTGGCATCAACTTATGGCCAATGACAGTGTAAGGAAGGTATCATTTGGCTTTTTGTCTTCTCCAGACTAATAACCAATTTAAAAATAAAAAACAACAAAAAAAAATGAACTAATGTCAGGAACTGATTATAAAATGTTTTCTCTAAAGCTATTAAAATGGTATAAAATATGAAAAATAAGGGAATGGAGCACAAATATCAGASTTCAGTTCTGAATTACAGAATGTACTCTAATTCTGTGTTTCCCGTCCCTCTACCTTTGCCAGTTCATCTCACACTGCTCACTCTTCTCCACAGCAGTTTAGGGAATAGTCTACAATAACAGAAAGCAGTTCCTTTTCTCCAAATGATTCAGATGGACAAACATGTTATTACAGCTACTATTTACGCCTCCTACTGTACTTCTGTGGACCGTTGTTTACACACTGCATTGTAAACTTGTATCCATTTTATGTTCACCTTAGTGCAYCAGAACATTCAGGGCTAATACTGCAGTTTCAGGAAAATTAAAAAGGAAAGTTACTGGGCCATCTTTAAAGGGGCATTTATAGCAGTAACCTGTTGAGTTCTACTAGAACAATAAGATTTTGCTCTAACAGAAAAAAAAACTATTTGCCATTTAAACGCAGACATTTTAGTTTTATCTTAATTAGGGAAGAGCCGCATAGAAATAATTAAATGCGTATTTATATCCAAACAGTATCACACAAGTCTATAAAATTTCTTCTGCTAGGGTTAGAAAAGCTCTCAGATTACACAGCAGCACTGTCRGAGCCAAGGTTTCTCCTTCTGTCCAGGGACATACTTCAATGGATCTAGACTAGATCCAGAGGTACTTTCAGAGKATTTACTTTCTTTGTTACGGCATTACCACAGTAAAAAAAAAAAAACCAACAAAAAAAAACCAAAAAACATTTATCCCTAACTTTGTGATGTGTAAAATGCTGAAAGTTTTTACTTAAAAGTCTGGCTAAAACACAACTAAATGAATTCCAGAACATAACTGGCCAACACTGCAGCTCATCACAACATGATAAACAAATCAAAATAACTAACATCACTTTATTTACAGAAGTAAAGCAGAAGCCCGTGGAATATCTTTGCACATACAAGTCGACCTGACTGAACAAGCAGCAGCCCATTACAACACAGCTCCTCAGAGGATTTTTGGCATAGCCWGGAGAGCAGCATGGTGTGTTTTGGTGCCAGGGCACCAGGCAGCCCCTAGGGCTGGCTCAGAGCCTGGCAGGACATGAGGACATCTAATGCACAACAAGACCAGGCAGTGCCCCCCTGCCACACAAGGGGTATTCCTGGCATGGGCAGTGCCCAGGATTTGAAGGAAGCCAACAAYCACAGCCAGGGCTGTGTTCCTCTATCTCCTGTCTGGATGGACACTGAATCTGACCACAGAGGTGGCCTCGGGGCATTCCTCAAAATGTAGTGGGGACAGAACTACCAGTTCCTTTTTACACAACTCAAGCAAATGTCAAACATCTGCTAAAGAYATTATATATACACCTACAGAAATTAAGTTTACACATGGGAGCCCATGGGGATAAGCCTAGTTCCAATACTCAGAAAAACAAAAATTATTTTACAGACCATTCCCCAGATTTTAAATGCATTACTGAAGTAACCATTTGAAATACCAACAGCTGCTTGTAGCATATCTGATGGATATGCTCATTTAAATTCTTCTGTCTAAAAATAGGAGATGAAGTAATTCATCCATAAGTGCTCTATATCCCATTAACTCAGGTAACCATAGATACCAGCAAAAAATGAAATCAAATAGATTAACATTTGACAGGTAAGAACTTCAAGCATACCATACACACAAGTTTATTTAATGATGTTTGCTGCAGGTTTTATCCCACAACTATGGTATTATTCAAAGAAGATAAATCCTCCAGCAACAATCTATATCTGATGCTTGAATATTTCAGGAGTCATACAACATGCCATTACAGCAATGGGCTGATGAATTTACCAAGCTTGGGTGAATTCAATGACATGCCCAGTTCCACTTAATAAAAACAAAACCCAAAACAACAAAAAGCTATTAAAAACAAAATTAAAAAAAAAACTACCCCAAAAAAACAACAACAAAGTGTTTTAATTTACCATGTTGTAATAGTACCTTTCACAGCCTTACAAAAAACCAGAATCAACTCTGCTATAGCAATTGTAAAGACCAGAACAATCRGTGGATGGCAATAGGAAAACAGCTGGAATCTTGAACTCAAGTGACTCTTACGGGGGAGCTAAAGGCAGTTTTATATTCTTTACGCAAAAGATTATTTCTTTGACAACAGGGAAAGACTAAAAGGGAAAAAATATACAAAATTTGTAAATACTAACCTTATTCTATATTTATCCCCACAAAAAAAACCTCTTTGCCTAAAAATATCTTTCCAGAAAGCTTATATTTTAAGCTAAAAAGAAGACACAGAGAGAGAACATTTTATTGCTGAGGTACAACATTTTCCTGCTAAACCAGTCCTGACACACTAAGAAGCGCTGGTTATAAAGACCATTTTGAGACATCAAAATAAATTACAGTTGTTAAGAAAAATACTGAGTAACTTGGAGACCCAGTTCTGTGTATCTATTTTAAGATTAAACAAATCAAATCACATATAACAAACTTCCTTCATGTTTTAGTACAAAAAAATAAACCAAGGTATAACAGTACAACACTGGAAACAAGTATAACCTGTCCACATGTCTGTTTCTGTTGTAATGATAAAAATTTTCATGAAGTTTGTTTAGGTAAGCATGGAAATATGGTTAAATTTCAAATTATGGCTTTCACACATGTTAAAGGAGAAGACTACATTCATGCTATCAGCTAATATTTTGTCCCTTCATAGGTTTGTGAGCTTGTACAAATGTGACATCCTTATGGCCACTGGCTGGTAAGTACAGTGTGAGCACGATATGGACAGACCATATTAGGACTTCTGTGCCACTGATCTTGGGAGCAATGCAGCAGCTGAAAACATGGAGAAGGCAATACCAATAAGGACCAGCCAGAGTCCTGTGAAGCATCAGAGAGCCAATAAAGCAGCTTTCAAACCTCTCATTTTGAGCATGTGCCACAAGGTCCAGTGTGTGGGATCTGGGTGTTTTATCTGCTTCCCCTRCCTGCATCCACAACCTCTTTCAAGCAACTACAGGACGAAACTGAGCAATGGGATATGAGATACCAGACACAAAGCACTTAACTAGTCTGTGCTTTTCCAATGTATTCCCACAGGYATGAAGGCTTTTCTAAGCCAGCCAGTCAAACAAAGTTCTTACTACAGAAAATACAGATATTTGCAGGGCTGATCTCATTTCCCCATGCTGGAGTTCCCCAACACATATGGTGAATATTGCTCATCTTGCTGGCTCCCTGGAAGCTCACGTGGTCAAGAATTGTATCCATATTCCTCTGCTCCAGCACAAGGATGGTTCCCTAGAAATATGCATGGTTCTCTTGAAGACATGCTGCTGTAACCATCACCATATTTTCCAATGAAGTCCTCTAGCTGACCTAGTCCAGAATACTGCACCATCAAGGACCATCATTTAAGGTAATTCTGGCTTGATTTTGTCCCTCTGCTCCTRCTGCCCTGCTCAGCAGTTCTCCCATGAACCCTGAGCCTGTGGCTGCAAACACTTGCTGCTCAGCTTGCTCCCCTCAGTGATCAGCACCCAAACAGAGATAGCCCTGAGCCTGCCRACTGCAGGGACAAAGACTGCATGGGCAAAATAGGCCAGGAAGAAAATCATAGGACTACAGTAATTTGGAGCAACAGCCCAGAATTCCTCAAGCTTCAGACACCCATGGCACAAAAGAAGTTTTATAATCTATGAACTAAACACAATAGATTATGCATTCCAAACACTGAACAACTAACATGAACCGCTGGCACATGCACCAATTTGATAAGCTATCAGGTGTGGGCAAGGCCTTTATTTTTCATTTCAAAATAAAGAAAACTCAAAAAAAATCAGAAATTGGCCCATAAAGAGTATTTCTTCAAATTGGATTCCAGTAAATTTTCTTTCCCACAGAAAATATCATTTCTCTTTTCCTACTTAGTTGTGCAATATAATATGTTATAATCACATTTAGCTGGAACAATAACAGTAGCACTTGCATAATAGGAACTGCAGAACCATTCTTGCTCAACAGCAGCAGCAGTGAAGTCATCTAAAGTTGAAGTAATGACTTTGCTGGTCTAAATGGCTTCTTCAAGTCTCAATTCAAAGGGAATGGGAAATACTGTTATCAGTGTGAATATTTTCCAGAGAATTTCTCATAAATCCAGATGATTTCATTACTTTTCAGAAAGCATCTTTAAATTACATGTAAAGGATCAGCTTCACATTACAAATGAAAATGCCACATATGCAACCCGAAGAAATTTTAGTTAGAATGTCTAGAGTTGATGTTCAATCTCAACTTTCAGTTTGAAATTGCTGTTTCTATAACAACATGTAGCAGACAAGCCCGTATGATTAGTCTGCTTTCATTTAATCCGTAAGAGAAATTTCATAACAAAGGAATCAAAAAATATCTGCAGGCATTAAGTTATTTTCAAGAGAAACTGTTTAAGTAAGTATCCAAATATGTTTTCAATTGCAATTTCTTTTATTCTAGTATTAATTTAAATTGAAGAAAGATTCACAGTCATTCTCCAGCAGTCTTACATTTTTGTAAAATGGTGTAAGATGCATAAATCATGTATCTTCTACATGCTAGCTTTAAGGATACATAAACGTGGAAACCTAAGGACCCTCTTTCAGCAAAGGCTTATCAAGTGGGATTTTAGGTTCTAAGTGTACTGGTTACTCARAGGAGCAAAATATTTTAGTACAATATGGTTATTTTTAAAGGAAAAACAAAATTAGGATTTAGACTAAAACAGAGAACTCCAAAGAAAGATATGAGGCAACCTGAAAGATAGTTTTAAAAAATATTCCTGTCACGTTTTAGAATGATTTAATCATTCTATAATTTACTGAAGTTTACTRTTTCATAACTGATACTGTGAACAGCTGGAAAACAGAATTATGGCAAAGACTGACTAGTGGAATTAAAAGTGACTGAAAAGGTAAGCAAGTAAACCTCCTTAAACAAATATCACTGTATAAATATTTATTMAATGTAAATGTATGAACAGTTGGAAGAAAAAATAGCACTACARAAAAGGGTATTTTTTATTTAAGGAATCAATTTAAATCTTAGCAATTAAAAAAAGAAGTCCGAACACAAACAGGTCACATTGTTAAAACCCATTCAAATATTAGGGTTCTAACCAGTCCTGCTCTGAAAGAGAATGCAGTCATCTCTCCCAGAAACATCCACCAAAAGCTGATGCTGCTGCTGGAAAAAGCAGGTTTGTGTCACCCCACTGTCCCCAGTCATAGCTGAGCCCTGTGCTTGTACCACACAAGCATTTGTGCAGCCATGTAATGCACTGGGTAAGAAAGTACATTAAAGGGATCCAAAGTTGAAGCCGAGCCTCCTCCTGCCCCCCAGATGAAGCAGCTTCAACAGCCCTGAGCTGCCCTGTGCAATTGCTCCACCAGCCGCCCCCGTGCCTGSCCTGGCACGATGCAGCGCAGCAGCTGAACGAGCGGCCGGGCCCAGGAATGCTCCTCTCAGAGTTAGTGTTGGCACCAGCGCTCACAGCAGTGCAATCCACAGCGACCTGTGCTTAACACAGCTTCCAAATGTGTCTATTGACTTGTGTAAGATGAACCCAGCTATGTCAATTGCAAATRACATTCAATTCCTCTGCCCATCCTTATGGGATATTAACCCTTGATGCCCGCACCAAAACCAGTTTTTGAGAGCATCTGTTCTCTCTAATGCTTGCCCTTCTAAAAGGTCCTTCCAATAACACTACTAAATTGAATATTTAAATATTACTTCAGATTAATTATTGCTGTTTCTTTAGTCAAGTAGTAAGCAATACTTTAAATGTATGTTTTAAACAAAGGTTTTACAATCAGGCCATGAAAAACAGCAATAATGTCATCCTAGAGAGCAGRACTTCCAAAGTTATTGTGCCCTGAACAAAACCAGCATTAAGAAAAGCAGCTTATTTYAAGGCACTAAAATACTTTGAAAAATTTTCCAGCTTTCTTTCTAATTAAGACTGCAGCCAAATAACACATAACAAAAAAGCTTTTGTTGGAATTCCACCTTGCTGAGSACAAAAGTCTACCAGAGCATTGCTAGAGGACTAAAGTAATACATTTCCAAGGCCTGTCTTAAAGAGCTGTCATATAAAAAGTTATTACTTGTCCTAAAGGAAAACACCCTCCTTTTTGCCTCTCTGCTAASCAGTCTAATGCAACAGAAAAAACTTACAACCACAACTAAGAAAGGTAACWTCCCTGCTGGGGGCCTGCAAATTTCACTGAAGCACATCCCAYCCTTATTCTACCTGTAAATCACTCTGCATGCCATCAGCTTAGAGCCCAAATGTCTGCATGTATTTCTTAAACYGAGAAGAATGTTCCCCAAAATAATAAAATAAGTAAATAAACCCCAACAACAACAAAAATCCCAATACAACCAATTTTACCTTGTTGATGGAAACTGTCAATGCTGGCTCCAGTTTAGCCTCAATTTCTTCTGGTGTRTAATAACAAAAGAGTTTGCCACCTCTCAGAATGCAGTACAGCCTCCTCCAGCTCATTAGACCCCCTACCATTTGCTAAAGGGAAGAAGTAGTCAGAAATTGCCAAATATAAACCTAAAACAAAACCATATTACAAGGTGCACACRTATCATCCTGAGTGATCAAAATTTAGCTACACCAAATTCATTCCTGAAACAAAGACTTTCTGTTATAGAACATTTCAGTCACTGATTTCCAAAACATTAGYAGTACTTTACATGTTTTCTGGTGTTTTACAGGTTTTGCAGATTTATTGCCATGTGACACTAACAGTACAGAATCTGCTGGCTAATTACAATAAAATCTAGATCTGGTGTCTACTACAAAGAAGAAATTACCATTATTAGCTACAGCAATTGCACAATAAGAGAAATAAAAAGAGTATTTCACTTTGGAAATACACAGTACATTCAGCAAATGTCAAGCAAAGACATTTGTCTAGAATTTCCACTTTCCAAATACCAGTTTAAAGCTTGCTATTCAGCACTCCTGACAAATGACCCAGACCCTCTGGCCCTCTGCTATCGCCTTCTCATATGCAGTAGTGCAATGAACCAAACTAGAGAAGTAAAGTGAGTTCACATGAATCATTTGTGAAGGGATGACTTTAAATATGGCTCAGTTCACCAGCCTGATCCACCATGCTGTGATATGAACTCRTGTGTCAGCACAACAAGGGGTATGTACAGGGATGAGAGCCACAGGATTATCAGGACTGATGCCGCTCAAGTACCAGTGCAAAACAACTAAATTCTCAAACAAGAGTTGGAGTTGATCTTTACTAAAAACCAACATTGTTCACGCCAAGGAAACATTGATTTCTCCATGCTCAGCCACTGAAGGCTCTGTTTGTGAATGCAGCTGTGAGAGTTCCCCCATTTACCGGTGGAACAGGTAAAAACCAACAGTTCTCAAACCACTCCAGGTAAAAGCAAATGTTTTAGCAATTGACTCTTAGTGACAGCTACTAACAGATGAGGATGCCAACACAAGSAAGGTCTTCATACCTGCTGATTTAGAAATCCTGCCATCATATCCCTGGTCATGCAGGAGGGCTGGACAACTAAACGGCAGCACATGTTTCCATACAGGGGCARCCAAAAAGAGGATTCCTCTGAGGGAAAAGGCAAAAACAGACAAACTCTCAGTTTGAACAATTGCCCTAAGCATGTAGCTTAGCTTTCTACATCCATTTTTACTTTAACATCATGAGTGTAAATAAGCATGTTTTCATATTTTAAGAGATTTAATCCTGTAGGATTAGACTAAAAGTGGTCATCGGTCTTCGGGAAGTTTCTTTAATTGAAAAAAAAAAAATGTAACTTTCAAAATAATTTCAAATAAAARTGTCAATATTGTTCTGCAAAAATGAGTTGTTCCTACATAAAATATAGCTCATTTCACAGCKATAAATACTTTGAAAGGTATTTCTGGCCTTCTCATCTAGAATGAYCCCTGAGCCTATCCCATTGTGGCACACAGCTACATTTATACATGAGCACTTTGCTTCAGATTGTTGTAATAAGGCTTGGAATTTATATTTACTTCTGCCATCAGCACTAGAAGAGCATTTAGGGTTCCAAGRAGTTTCTAATGAATTGGAATTGCTCAGCCCCACTATGCAATAGGCTCTTTCTTCTGTAATTAGAAGTAGGTAATGCAACGTTCCATTAAGGTGACTCTGTCTTTGGTCATGRTTTAGAAATGCYYGTAATGAACCAAAATACCCAGGTAYGTCCTTTCTCACCAGACTAAATTACCTAAATTAGTGTCAGAAAAAGGAACTTCAAGAAAAAAGAATAAAAAGTTCGAATAAAGAAAAGCTTACAAATATCAAAGGTACTCAGAATTATTCATCCAACACTTCAAGAAACAAATCTTCAAATCTGTACTTATTCAGAATTACTGAAATGTAAAGAAGGAAATTCCCTTTGAGGTCAAGTTTACTCCAGTAAATGATTAAGTTCCCAGAAACGACAGTGAAAGTCCCATGTCTTAACGGTTGGAGGATGGCTTGTGGGAGGGGCTATCCTTGCAGAAAATAATGGACAAAGTGCCTAGAACTAGAACCACCACCATCAGTTGCATCACAAACCCAGTCCCCTACAGCATCAGCATCCAGGCTGACTGCTCCCAGCATGAAGAACACGCTAGCACAGACTGCAAGCACGTGCACTTACGTCCTGTATTAAATCTGGGTTTCAAACAACCTCACCAAACTGAAGCAATTTTACTTCTTTCCTTCASACTACAGAGGAAAAAGCTGTTCTTCATTCTGATACCCTTCCTCGGTTGTGAGGGAAGGGAAATAATTTGTATATAACTACAACCCACGTAAGGCAGAGATGCAAATGACAGAAGAAACTCCCAAAAGAATTAAATTTTCATCTGGACTTGAAATTTTACTCAACTTACAGTTTATTCAGCTGTGTACAGATGCCTGCTTTAGAGCCGTTAAATATTTTATTAAAGTTATTCTATATTGAGTATCAAGAAAAATAATCTCTTTAAGCTCTTTAGTTTACAAGACTTTAATGCAAAATGTTACTGGTTTTTTATTTCCTTAAATTGGTACCATATGTACTTACCATTTCCTGTAATAGTAAGGTTGTGGGTCCTGAAACTGTCCTCTGCACTTTCCAGCCCCAAAGTGGTGTATGCTAGCAAACTGTACTTTRCTCCACTAAATGTGAAAGAAAAGGCATGTTTGAGAAATTTCTTCTTCATGTTGCTCAGGTAGTAATTAAAGTGAGTCTAGACAAGCCTGAGATACCACATTGCAGGGCAAGGGAACACAGAGATGCATGGCAGCACCTGYCAGTGACTGCAGATTGCTACTCCCCAACGTTTTCCCACATCTCCTGTATCTTTGGTTCTCCTGTAAACAAACACTGTTGCACAGTTTGTTCATGTCCTTCCTATATCCTTATCTCCCCCCTCCATGTGTGCACCTCCAGTTCCTCCTGCCCCACAGCTTCCAGGCAATGCCACCATTCATTACAACYTCTTCTGTTGCCTCCTCTCTGGGACGTGAGGTCCAAGAGACCTCTCATGTGGCCACTGCCTACTCGACCTTGCTGGGGAGCCAGCAGCTGCCAAACCCAGGTATAAAAGCTGGGCTATCCAAACCAGCTGCACCCTCTGGATGCTCAAAGCACCTCTCTCCTCTAGTCAGACACCAAGTAACTTTCAATAGTTTTACAGCTCTTATTCCTAGGCCTAAAGCGATTAGATTTGGTAACAGGTTCAAAAATTCCTATACTTAATAGAACAACTGATGACAAACTTTATCTGAAAATCCCAGTTAAAAATTAAAAGGCATTATACTGCTTCTCCATTTTGCTCTGCTYTTTTGCTTTGCTTAAGCAGGCTACATTTTATAAACCAGATGCTTATATATGTATTTTTAATAGTATCCAATAGATTGATTATTCACATGCAGAAATCCTATCGTCAGTTTTGTTGCATTTTTTCACGTATTGTGCTTACAGGTTTCAGAATCTTTTATCTTAGTTTCACATTTTGCCTAGGGAAAAAAGTATCACTCTTACAATTCAGCACAGTGCAATTCTGGAATGCAGTTCTTGGAATAAACTGGTATAAATTTAGTCCGTTTAACCTTTTCCCTAAAATACTCATCAGACCGAGTAACAGATTTACAGTCCAGCAATGCAGTAAGAATTCCACCTGGCTAATGGCAGTTAGAACAAAGTTCACAASAAAACAAATTCCTCCAAATCACAAATTACTCTCCTCAACAGGATCTAGCACAAGATCCTTAAAATATCTTCAGTAAAGCATAATAAATCTTAGCAGTGTAAAAGCTGACAAGACACTACTGAACCAAAAATCACCAAAAATWGTTTTCCATCTTAGTATTTTTCAAACTTTATTTTTCTTATTAGCACAGCAGGAACATACAGTTTTCAAATCTTTGGCTCTCTGGATGAACAAGGAGAATATCTACCTCCCCCTAACCCTAATGAAAGAGGAGGCAGAAAAGTAGAAAAATTGTTAGTGGGGAGGTCTGTTACATATCTGTCTCCAGGGAACAAAGAGAAAATTAAACAGAACATGCCATTCTGGGTGAAAAACCACTGCTATGAAGCATTTTAAGACAGCAATCTGAATGAAAACTCATCAGCATTTGTAAATATATTTCCTCCTAGACTGTTCCCTAACAAAAGATTCTCCACTGATTAGGTCTGACCATGCTGTTGAGCAATGCATTACCATTCTATTTAAACTGTACCAAAAAGTTTSATTTCTTCTCATAGATAAAACTGTTGTGCTGATTCTAAAGTTACTTTTTTTTTCTAAAGCATGACTAATTACCACAGCAACCTTGCCAAAAAAAATAGCTACTTCACTTTTAAAATATGCCTGACAGTAACATTTTCATTCTAAAATACAAGTCACTCCTTTCAGACAGCTGCAATATAATTTAGAAAAGTTTTATCTACAAATATTTCTCAGATTTAACTGGCTAATCAGGAGTGTTGACTGTGTTTTTTCCTTTGCATTTCACAGAAMTAGCTAACTGCCTTAAATGGTAGTTTCTTCATCTGACAAAGAATAATCTGCCTGCTGCATCTTATTCAGTACTTCACATATCTGTAATATTTTT